AGTCAAACTAACTCCAACAATGGGCAGCTGTGGATGGGAAGTCCAAGAATCTACTAGTTGCTCAGTTCCACGGGGCTAGCTGTTTAAGCTGGTCTTCTGTAGAAGTAGATTCCAAAAAATGTGCTGGCAAGTAAGTACAAGGAGTCAAAGAAGAGTGAGTCTTCCTTCTTCCAATGTCTGTATATAGGCCTCCAGCAGAAGGTGTGGCCCAGCCACTACCAAGCCTGGTGCTGAGACTTTCTTTGTCCCAGGCTGACCTTGAATTTAGAGATATCCTTGTCTCAGTTTCCTGGGATTAAAGGTGTACACTATCTTGCCTAGGCCTAAGCTTTTCATGGCCACTATACCTTAAGATTTCCGTGCCATAGCCGGGCAGTGGTGGCTCACACCTTTAATCCCAGCACTTAGGAGGCAGAGGCAGGTGGATTTCTGAGTTCAAGGCCAGCCTGGTCTACAGAGTGAGTTCCAGGACAGCCAGGACTACACAGAGAAACCCTGCCTTGAAAAACCAAAAAAAAAAGATTTCCGTGCCAAGATCCAGGTCAGAAACTTGTGTCTTCCAGCCTCAAGATCTGGATCACAGATGTGCCCTCCATTTCTGGATTGTTCCAGATATAGTCACATTGACAAGCAGGGATAGATAGCCACCTCAGGACCCAAAACTAGTAGGAAACTGAGAATAGCCATATAAAACAGGACAGTAAAGATAACAGCCAGGTTTCCTGGGACAGAGGGCAAAATGAATGTGTAGTCATTTTCTCCTGTCAGTGGGTAGGGAGAAGAACCCAGCACTGTGCCAGCAGCCTGAAGAATCTCTTCTCCCTTAGTGACCTCTGCTGAGATAAAGCCAGATCATTGACTGTGCAGCAGAAAACAATTCCAGGGCAAGTCAGAGTGAAGCAGTGTGTGTTTATTACATATCCAGACAGAGAGACACATTTGAGAAAGATTACGCCCACTGAAGACAGGGGTGTGGGCTTCCAAATAGATAGTCACACAGTTGCCTTTTCAATGCCTGAACATAGGATTCTGTGGCTTTAAATTACATTGTTCACAGGCTGTAACTTCTAATAGTTTAACAGTTCAGCAAAGCTTAGAACTTTTAGTAGAAATTAAATAAATGTCCAGGCTACTTTAGTTCCATTTTTTAAAGAACTTCTTTTGATAATGAAACTGAAGGTGGTTTTTATGAGGTGCATTATTGACATTTGGGGATGAGAACTCACAAGCATGCTGTTTTTACACATTTATTTACTTGTTTTGCAAGGAAGTGCCTATGAGCCATGGACCAGGTCCTCAGGCTTGGTGGCAAGCACCTTTACGCACTGAGCCATTTTGCTGGCCATGCTGACAAGCAAGCTGCCTCTAGGCAAGCTGGTGCTGAGAACGGGACCCAGGGCTTCATGCATATTAAGCAAGAGCTTTATCACTGAGATATATTTTTAACCCTAGTTGGTTGTTTTTAAATATCCTTATTTGGGAAGTCTTTGTGAAAACACACATCATCTCTGTTGGCAATTTTGGCCTTGTCAGCTGTGATGAAGTTTTTTACAACTTTTATAATTTTTTACTTTATGCATATGGATGTTTTGTTTGCCTTGAGGTCAGAGGTAGGTGTCATGTCGCCTGGGACTGGAGTTAGAAATGTTTCTGAGCTACCGTGTAGTGAGTGGGTCCTGGGAATTAAATGTAGGTCTTTTGGAAGAGCAGCCAGTTCTCCAGTTCTCTTAACTGCTGACTCAGCTCTCCAGCTCTATGTTGAGTTTCTTGATCCTCATTCAGCAAGCCGCAGTGTGGGAAACTTGATGTTTGTCCTGTCCTTCTATCCTGCCTCATCCCCATTCACTCTCTGGGACTGGACTCGGGCTTAGAGCTCAAAGAAGACCAAAGGCAAACACTGTTCTAGTAGACTAACTCTGTGTTTGTGTGTGTGTGTGTATGTATGTAATTGTTTAAAACCACTACATTACATAAAACAGTGGGTATAGTTGAGTCTTATTTGTCTGGTTTAAGGGCTGGGAATGAAACTGTTCATTTATGTAATTTTCTTTTCCTTTTTTAAAAAATCTTTTCTTTCTTTCTTCCTTCCTTCCTTCCTTCCTTCCTTCCTTCCTTCCTTCCTTCCTTTCTTTCTTTTTTCTTGAAACAGGGTTTCTCTATGTAGCCCTGGCTGTCCTGGAACTCACTCTGCAGACCAGGCTTGCCTTGAACTCAGAAATCCACCTGCCTCTACCTCCCAAGTGCTGGGATTAAAGGCGTGTGCCACCACTACCAGGCTCTTTTCTTTATTTTTAAAGACAAAGTTTTTGCAGGATATTTGATCACACTGTGAACCCCCCGAGTTTGTGTTATTTACTGAAATAACTTGTTTCCAGTGTGGCGTGGCTCATCCCTTAGCATACACTTTTAATCCCAAACAAGGAAGATAGTAAGTTAAAACTAAAAGTTAGTAAACCTAAAAGTAAAGTAAAATAAAAAACTAAAAGCTAATTTGTAGAAGGAAGCAGCCGTGTTTGAAAGTGCTGTCTAACTGAGTAGCAGACAAAGTGATGAATCAGAGAAAGATTTGACAGAGGAGAATATGTTCAACTATCACAAGAAAAAGGGAAGCTACTAAAGAGAGCAGAGGAGAGAGAGAGAGAGAGAGAGAGAGAGAGAGAGAGAGAGAGAG